TTTAGCGTTTAAATGTCACTATAGCTATGTATATAACACCAATCGTAACGCTGTTTTGACTTCGTAAAAATTGTTTCATAACATAACGATTGCACAAAGAAAATGTCAATTCTGAGGAGTGACGTGATGAGGAGGGCTGTGAACGTGTGTTTAATTAAGGGCTTTTGTCTCTGAATATTATTAATAAAGTGCCATTCGACACCAAAGCTTACACCAAGCAGAAATTCGATATGTTGAAGTCAGAGATCGAACTGCACACCGTCCACAACCCATACTAACAGGCTACAGCTCCTAAAGGTCATTGGTGATTTCATCGCTGATAAAGATGGTAGCTCTTTGAACACAAAGCACTCCCTACATTTCAGATATTTCCGAGTCATCCAAAAAATTCGAGGGATATGAATCCACTTGTAACTAATAATTGTCTTTTGAGGCCAACACGAATTCCTTTACAACTCGACTCAGAGATTAATCCATGGATATTCTTATGTCAATCTGAGTCCCCTCTCCTTCAATATACACTACAGCTGGGGAATAAAGCATGGTAACAGTGAAACACTGTAAACTTAAGAAGCCTCTGCAATCTTAATCTATAATCATCTAACTTTGTTCATATTTAGATTTTTATCTTTCACTCGTTTTGCAACACCAGCTATCACGCTAATGCATAGAAAGCTCTTTCGGAACCATTTTCCTCAATATTTAGTTTAGACCAGGTTTTGCGCATTTTTCAACTGTTGCTAAAAGTATTATTCGACACTTCTCAGTCACGAAAACGACCCGAGTCTCTACGACATTGACTTTTCGGGAAGTTTTCATGCTATATATAGGAAATGTCATTTATGTCGCTGTTAAGAGGCTCAAACTCAGAAGACTAAAGGTAACCAGACCACTTCACGATAAAAGTCCATCTACGAAACTGTAACATTTGACTGTTAAAATAATTTTCTTTTGGGAGCTAACGCTCTTGTATGCTTAATTCTTGTTAGAATATTCGAGTTAACAGTCGAAGATCCATGCCGACTTTTTTTCTGTTTAACAGTCGCTTTATTAACATTTATTGCCCGTTCTTTGTTCACAGTTGATATTGATGCTAGCATCCCGAGGGCAGAGGAGAATTTAGGTGAGACGGAGTGATATTGATTAAGAGTAGATCTTCCCCAGCCATTTTAAATTGTCTTCATTAATTTCTTTTGAATGGACCATCCGTATTCGATCATTTAATCAAGGAAAAAAGTCCTTCTTGAAGAAATTAGAGCTAAAGGAGGAAAATGAATCGTGTGTATATACAGTGAAGGAAAATGAGCAGTTGGAGTGTAACTGCATCACACGGCTCTCTGATACTGGTTTGTGCTAAAAAAAAGTGGCGGCCGCACTTAAATACACGAATCTGGAAAAGAAGGACAAAGAAAATGAACGCCAAGCTCCAAATTTTTCCTGACTTCCTACCTTGATGTGTAGGGAAAACACCAATTAGAGGCCTTTTTATCCTTGTGCATTGGTTGAACCTCGTTTCAGCCATTTTTTTGTAAATTCTAGATGAAAAGTCTGAAATGGGGTTATTGGGGACTGAAGTCCATTAGAAAAGTATAGCAAAAATAATCTAAATTAGCACAAATTAGATTAAGTGTTTTAGAGGCAGAGATCCAAGAGCACACACATTCCAGTTAGAAATATGAAAAAAATCTTATTTCATCTTCAGCTGGGAAAAATAAACTTATGATTTTCTTTCGTATGCGTGGTAAAAACGATAAAATTATTGAAATAGTGAAGAAGGAAAAAACTTCATAGATTTTAAGCAATCAATAACCGCTGACGACGCAGGGCATCCAATTATATTTCTGTGTGTATGTAAATTCATGTACATTGTAATATCACTGTAGCTGGAAGATTCAAGCTATTGTTAAGATGTTTTTGTCTGATGTAACCCACCCAGAGAAATTCCGCACCATATTTCACAAACGCATAGCTTGCGAAAAAAAAATTTATATTCACGTTAACTAAGGGCAAACATAATCATCTTGCGTGATCGTTACTGGTTAAAATGAAATGCCGCCATAGCTTACAGCTATTCGAGGAAAGCTCCAATTTCTTATGGGAAATGCCATCCGGAAACCTACAAGGACGTAGACTATAGCTGGGTTTCCGATGATGGGGCTGGCGTTTATTTTGAAAGTCATAAACCCCCTAATTCACGGGCCCTGGTTTTTCTAAACCTGCTTATTTCCGACAAACGGATAACTGAAATCATTGTATTGATATTGATAGAATAGCTGAAGTTCCTCTGTTTTTTAGACATGCCATCTTTACCGCGCGCATTGAACGTAATTTTGTATCATTAGTGTATCTACATGTGTGGAGATTAGAATATCGTTGTTTTAGCCGAGTTTAGTAACATGACAGTTTTACTGAGTTGAAATTCTTTCTTTTCCCTCTCCTTCTTTTGAGAGAAAATTGAGAAACAGATTCCATGCCACCGTGCATCTCTTCAGTAATAGGTCAAAGAGGATGACAAATATGGTGAAACAAAAATGTGTCGAGTGAGGCGCAGCCGAGTGTGTCACTGATGTTCTCGCCAGATTTGACGTCTTTTGCGATGTTACTGAACAAACCAATGGTAGCTCAAAGGATGGAATCTCTTTGTTTTATATAATAAAGAAGCAAATAAAATATGTTGATTGTGACGTCATCTATGCGTCAGTCCTCCAATAGCTCATAAAAAAGAACCAATCAAAATACGTGCGTAATTCAGCTTATTACATTAACATTTTTATTTTGGGATCACATTTAATCTTTCTGTCGCAAGTTAAAGTAGCTATTCAAAGATTTTATCGTATATTTTACACGACTGCATACGGGGATCTTTAAATCTTAATTATTTGATTGAGCTAAACACACTACAAAATCATCTGAAAGACATTAAGCATAGCTTGGAGGACTATTCTTCAGAAAATAAAATGTGGAGTAAATACAACGTTTTCAAAATTTCTAGGTCTGTTTGAAGGCGATATCGTCATCGATGAGGATACCGAAAGATATCTGACAGGTGGAGGGATCATGTCACGTGATGCTGTGGTCTCTCCTATATTATACTGGCCAAAAGGGGTGATCTACTACATGTTTGACGAAAAATTAGGTTAGTTAATATGTTCTCTCTTTTTTAAATAGAGATCCAATGATCATAGCTGGTTTCTAACATTGAGATTTCCCCTTACTTTGTTGTTGTTATTGTTGTTCCTGTAGCTGCTACTGCTGCTGTTGTTGTTTTATCATAATCCAATTTTCAAGAAACTACTGAGAGACTTTTTGTTGCAGTTCGTATCACCGTTATTTTTGTTGTTGTTGCTTTTGTTGTTGGTCATAATGCTGTTGTTGATGAAGACGATGTATGTTACTGCTTTTGCTTGTTGTTATTGTCGTTCAAGTCAGGAGAAAGATTCTTGAATAAATAAATAGATAAATAAACAGAAGATTTTAACAAAAAGTTAATGTATTGTTCAACTTTTTCCTCGGCCTCAGAGCCTCTCAAGATCGATATCATCAAGCGAGGTATCCATCATCTAAAGGAAAGGACATGCATAAAATTTGTTCATATTCCAAAAAATAACACGCGTCATAAAAGCTATGTCAGATTCTTCAGTGGAAACGGGTAAGTCATCTATCAATTGAAAATAGCATGAACAATATAGGATGAGTAATGACAGCTCCTGGGTAGTATGCGTACATCTTCATATTCTCTCTTCTCTTCTGTCGGATCTTCGATACCATCAATCTTTTCCTTCAGGAAACGTGACTGGATAGCTTCCTTTATTCACTACTTACAATTGAAGTTATCATGTGCATGTATACCTAGAGGGCCTTTTTGTTTCATCGTTCATGGCATTTCCAGTTGTCAACGTTTTACAATCGAGTATATCGTGCTTTAATTCAACCATAGCGTGCTGTTGATGATAACAGATTACGGACATAATTGAAATATTCCTTTTTCTTTTTTGAGTAATATTTTTCTCTCTTTGTAAGATGTTATTCCCGAGTCGGCAGAGATCCCACTGACGTCGAACAAACGATTTCTATCGGTGATGGATGCGAGAGGATTGGAACAGTGGTGCACGAGATCATGCATGCTTTGGGTTTCTTCCATGAGCACACTAGGCCTGACAGGGACAAGTACATCAAAATTGATTGGACTAATATCGAGGAAGGTAGTGATATGGGTGATGCATTTTATATTTGAAACGGGGAGGGTTACATGTATAAAGAGTCATATCAACCATCATCAAGGGACTGGAAGGCTGTTGTAGTTTGCTCTAAACTCATCCAAAGCATCAAATTATCGACTACCAAAATTTAAAATGTTGTGAGAGAAGATACTAATCAATGTCAACTCTGAGTCTGGTTGGTCCGTTGTGAAGTTGAAGTCAAGTGCCGGCTGTGGCACACTCAATAACTGCTTAGAATTTGTTTTAAATTGTTGGATATCAAAGCGTGTCTTTTATATTCCATTTACAGAGCATTCTCGAAACTTCCAAAAATACCCACGAGATCTGGGATCTAGCTTTGGCAAACCATATGACTACGACAGTGTGATGCATTACAGTAGGTTTGCGTTCTCCAAGGACTTGGATGTCCCAACCATTATACCTGCAGATGGAGAGGCTTCAATTGGTCAGCGACTGGGCCTGAGTTATTATGACAGAGAAGAAATCAACACGTTGTATAGATGCCATGGTGAGTGAGTCTATTCATAGTGGCGTGTCACGCATTTTTTTCTTGGCTAGACTACAGAGATGAGGAAAAAGGTATGTTCCTGAACAAAACAAAACAAAAAATAAAAACGGAACGAGTTTACGTACTCGACGTTGGATTCATCTCATTTCTTGCATTTAGATGCCTTAATTTTCTATTTAAGAGTGACGATCATCTTAGATATTACTTCTGGTATCGTTATAATAACGTTACTGTCACCATGATCATTTTCATTGTCACTGTATTAATATCAATATCATCATCATCATCATTAACAATGTCTTTATAATTGTTGTCATTATCAGCATCATTATCATTAAACAAATATGTTTCTGTTTCTCTTCAGAGGACTGTGTTGACAAGATGAGCCCTTACAGGTGCATAGGTCGTAGCATACTGGGTAGCTGTGAGAGTCCTAGATTCCAAGAAATGATGATTGAATCTTGTCCCAAAACCTGCAAATTTTGCGGTGAGAATCTTCATTATAAAGGTTTAAATAACTGCATCCTTCTGTATGCAGTTTCATTAATTTGAAGGCTTAAATTGACCATCGCGCTTAGAAAATTGGAGGCTTGCACCGAGCTTGAGGAAAAAACTTTAATTAGCCTTGGAGGTCTACATATTAATCAAAAGACATGAGTCGTAATATAATTTTCTCTAAGTCATTGGGGATGTGCAGATTTTGTAGAGGTCAGGCTATCATATTTCTGTTATTCAAGTAATTGGCCATTAAAACAGCAGCGAAAATAACACCAAATGCATACGATACATTGGAACGAAGAAAAGATTTTTTGGAGCTCGAAACGTGTGAAAAATTGCTACATTCAATTTCGTTTCAGCCTCAGTCGGAAATTCAGCGCTTGTAAACAATCCCTCATTACATATAATGATTTTTAACCAAGATATTTATCTACATGCAATTTCCTATTCTTTGGTTTCTTTTCTTTTCTTTTTCTGTTTTCTGTTAGTGTAGTTGGTTTTTTTTTCTGCCTGTTGTTGTTCGTTTGCTTGGTTTTTTTTTTTTTAATTTATTTTGCTTCTCCTCATTTGATCCTTGTAGCTGTTGTCTTGGCTTGAAACAAAATTAATATATTGCCATTACCATAGCCCATTTTTGGTCTTTATTTATCATTCGCGGACGACAGATAAAATCGCACATACGCTTTCCAAGTACAGTAACAGAACTCTGTGTTTCGATTATCTTTTCAGGAAAGAGAGATTCTACGATCAAAGTTTCAAAAAAGGCGCACCAGAAATAAAGAAGACGTCTTGAAAAGGACTCCAAATTATATTTTTTCACCAGGTTAAATAAATAATCGAGGAAGGTCTCTATTTCTCTGTTAATTTTCATAATAAAAGATCTGCAACATTGTTACAAGTGTGCCTTCCTTGTTTGGGAGAGTTGTCTCTGCTTTTCTAGAATGATCACGAAGAGAGAGAAGTGATTCTACACAGGTGGGTTGCTGTGACGAATCGTATCAATATAGACCATAAATTCTTTTTAAGCTAATTCATTGATTATTTCGCTGAGGTTAGCCACCCCATAGATAATTAACTAAGAAGAAATGCACCCTGTGCAAAAGGGGCTTGAAACATCTATTTATAAGAGAACAAATTAAAAAAAAGTAAGGAAAGACATGACATATGTACACACTTTTTAATCAAACTTTTACGACAATGATAATGAAATAAGCAAGAAATTGGCATAAGCTTCCTCCTTCTAGCCCCTCGGCGAAGCATTCATAAATTCCTTTGCACTTCTTGCTGCAAGTTAATCAAACAAATTAAGGTAAGTTTCCTGGAAAGGGTCAGAAATCAAACTACGTGCCACAGTGCTCAGATGCTACCACATCAGTGAAATATGTTGATCAATTGCAGAAATTGAACAATACATTCAAAAAAAGTTAAGTAGATCCTTCTCTTCAAACAGGAGATGCAAGCTTTCCTGCTTGTATCATTTTTTGATTTTTTTAAAATAACTATATATCAATCGGAATAAAATAATTACCTTGAAACACAGACCACGCTAGTAAAGAGTTGTTTTCTCTACATTAATGGTGGCGACCTGCGAGACATTAAGCAGTTTCTGCTATAAAGACATGTATGTGAATCGAATGAATGGAGATGGATTGGTTCCCTGCAAAGTTGTGAGCAGATCTCTTTGTGAAGGCAAAATTTGTGTATGATACCATGGTGTAGTTTAGCTAAAGGACAAAAAAAAAAGGAGAACGATTTTCTTTTATGACTATTCATCGAACACATCCTCGAATTATCCTTTAAAAGTCCACGAGAATAATAATGTTGTACCCTTCATATTGCTTTTTTTTACGTTATTTTTGGTACTTCATGTCAAAAATGTTTTAGAAATTAAAAATGACCGATCACCATCTGAGACATAGGAGTTTGCCATATAAAACGATTTCAAAGACATTGATTTTGGTAATAATGCTTTTCATAAAGTTAATACTTACATGCACCACAGGATTTTCTACAATATTTGTAGTACCGACCACATCTGTAGCTCATCACGACCCATCTACAATAGCCGTGACTTTGTGTATTTCTGCAAGCTGTTCAGTGAGAAAAACGAATCACTTAAGTGAGAAACAGTTACAAATACGGCTTGAAATAGAATAACAGAGCAACTCCAGCAACTGTAGAAACTACAATAACCTAAATCCTTAAACAATTTATCTGTTAAATGTTTAGGCGAACACGATAGAAGAAAGGCCGAGAAGACAGACTTATAAACATCTTTCTTAAACATGTTTTACAGGTAGCTTCCATACACAGCTGTCCCTTGTAGTAAGGGAAAATTTTTAGTCGTCTTCCCTTTTGATACAAAAAAAGACATAAGCATACAAGGCCCCAAAAACGTTTGAGAAAACTCTTGGTCATTCTCTAAGCCATTGATAATTACTTCTCCCTTGAATCATTCATCGATTAATGAGCAGTGACAAAACTAGTATCACCTTTTCGGCAAGGAATGTTACCCCCACATTTCCTAGTTTGTTTGGAGTATCCTCGACATGAAGAGCCACCGTATGCATAATAAGCATGTGGGCTGGAGCACGTGCGATATCTTGTTTGCGTGCCTCCCGACCCACACGTGCGACTACATTTGCTGTATGGACCCCAGTTAGACCAACCGCCCTCAACTGCAAATACAGGAGAATGAGAATGAAAAGAATGCGAGATATGCTTTTTACATGCGAGATCAGTGGAGCCTAAGAGGTTGTGCCTCATGAATAATAAAAAAAACAAACAAACAATCATTCAATTAAAACTGAAACTTCTTTCTTTCAGGAAGTAAAATTAAGTCTTTTAAATACAAGAGACATTGTGTACGATGTTAAGATAGGTTAGCATTCTTCACTGAGTAGTGTTACGAAACGGACATTCAATCACTGCCTGTTAATGAAAATAATCAGAAACAAAATACATGGGCGTACTTTGCGTCTTTCGTATTCTTTTTGCCGTCATTCTTATATCGCATCATATCAGCCAATCTCACCTTTACAAGGATGTGAATTACAGCTCCTTTTTCGTCTGCTCGATCCTCTACACCTTTTACCACCGTTTGCTGGTGGCGGATTGTTGCACTTGCGAGTTCTGTATTGATATCCTCTTCCACATGACTTGCTGCATCTGCCGTATCCACTCCATGGAGACCAATGACCGTCCACTACACAAATTAAGGATAGAATTGACAAATTTTGCAATATTTTATTATCTAGAACCGGACAAAAACTCCTACCAAACAATTTTCTAAATTAAATCAGTGGCTTACTTCGGGCAGCTTCCTCTAAACTACCGTTGGAAGCCTACAAGTCGTCCCAAATTATGCAGCAGCAGAAGCATATCATACAATGGAGTGTAAGTAATTATTTCCTGCCAGTAAGTGAAAGAGGAGATATTGATGATGTAAATAATTTTGGATGAAAGCTTTAAGACTAGCTTTAAACGTAGTATTTCCCCTGCCATCATTGTTTCATTTATTCATTTATTTTATAGGTGTCTATTGATAATAGTTTTTAATGCACATATATGATATGCATGGCGGGTTTGTAGGTTTTCTTTACCTTTACAAGAACGTGAGTTACAGCGTCGTGACCTTCGGCTCGGTCCTCGACATCCTGCTCCACCGTTTGCTGGAGGCGGATTGTTGCAATTGCGAGTTCTGTATTGATAGCCTCCCCCACAAGACTTGCTGCATGTACCATATCTACCCCAAGGGGACCAGTGGCCATCAACTAAACAGATTGAAGACAAGTAAATAATGCTCACGTTAATACTACAAAATGAAACACTTAGAGTTACGGTGTCCGATTGTCACGGAAATACCTTTCCTGAATGATTTTAAGCGAATTCTCTATTTACGCCGTTTTAAAACCACAACTCTTCCTACTTACTCACTAGAAATCGCTTACTCAATGTAGAGAGCACAATTGGACAACAATTATGGAACCATCGTTCACTAATTTTACGTTTTGATTTTGTTTATTTTGTGTGTGTGTGTTTGTTCCCACGTCAGGGCCTCGTTACGCCATATTACCAACCTTTGCAAGGACGCGAATTGCACCTTCTTGTTTGTTTTTCCGGCCCTCCACAGCCTGCTCCACCGTTTGCCGGTGCCGGATTGTCGCACATCCGGGTTCTGTGTTGAGAGCCTCCCCCACATGACCTGCTACATTTACTGTACCTACCCCAAGGAGACCAGTGACCATCAACTAAGTAGATCGAAGAAAAAGTTAATGATACTCGCTTTAATAGAACGAAAATGACGCAGCTATAAGTAAAGTCGGTGTGTCACGGCGGCTTTCACGGAATCAACTTTTTGTCTATAGATTTTGATGCACATTCTCTGTTTCTGCCGTTTGAAGTCTACAGCTCTCCAAGCTTACTCACTAACAATTGCTACTTCGATGTAAAGAACACGACTAGGCATGAATAATGAGAAAATTGTGGTAAAAATAAAACCAATAACTAGCGTGAAAGCTTTTAAAGTGGGCTTTAGGGGTTTCATGGCATATATCCCGTCGATTGATTCCTCCTTTTGATTTTTCTTTTTGCCTCCGAGGCTTGTGCTTCTTCATTCTATCTTCCAGTTGCTACTAACCTTTGCAAGGATGTGAATTACACCTTCTTGCTTGTTTGCTCGGTCCTCTACAGCGAGCTCCGCCGTTTGCTGGTGGCGGATCGTTGCACGTCCGGGTTCTGTGTTGAGAACCTCCTCCACATGACTTGCTGCACCTTCCGTATCTACTCCACGGAGACCAGTGGCCGTCAACTATAAACATCGAGAAGACAAAGTGTTTTTCTTTATTCCACTCTTTATATAAGGTGTTGTTATATCGATTACTTCGAATTTGTTTAAACAAATAATCAACTACATTCAAAAATTCAGTTACTATTTCATAATAAGGTTCCAAGGTTCAATATTTAGTTTTAGCTAAAGATCCCCCTTCCTTGATACTTGTCAATCGGTTCGAAACTGAGTCAAATCATCAGAGGAATAAAGATCTGAAACTGGCCATAATTACAGATGTCTGTAGGATTTTCTCTGCTGAAACAATGTCGTGGTGGGTAAAACGTTATTTAAAAAATAGTTTTGCAATAAATTTTTAAATACATTCCTTTTTCCTTGTGTGGACAGTGTCTCATACACTGTTCAAAGCTGTACGTTTATAGCAAGCCGTACAAACTTCGATATGTCTGGTGATTCATGGTAACTGATGAAGTCTTGAAAGTTAAAAAAAATGTTACTAATTTTTTATTACTGTAATCAATATCAACACTGTTACTAACTTTATGATCATCATTATCATCACCAATAATGCTACTACCTGTTTTTTGAATTTTAATTCTAAAAAAAATTAACCTGGACAAGCTTGTACATTGCAGCCAATTGATTGGAAAGATGCTCCTGGACACTTTTTGCCTCCATTAGCCGGTGCAGGATGGTCACATTTCCGACGTCTGTACCTGAAACCTCCTCCGCAAGTTGCTGTACAACCTCCAAAGCTACTCCAGTGAGACCATTTACCGTCCACTGGCACAGGAAAAAGGAGAAAGAGAAAACCGTATAGATATGAAAATTCAAGTAAAAGAAAAGATTAGAGCATGGTGGAAACGGTGTAACTGTTGTTACTTTCAGTATGCTAGACAAATACACCACAGAAGGCCACCGCAACAGCGAGCACATAGGCAACGACAAGTTAAAAAAAATGCATTCAAATGTTTATGATAAAAATCAGTTCGCTCGGCAGTT